TTTTTTAAAATGCTTTTTGTGGTTAATTCTACATGTATTCTATTTCTTGCAATTTCTTCAAGACCTAGAATGAAGTCCTCCACATATATACGTAATGGAATATATTATAAAGGCGGACCGAATAATCGACGTGAAGGCCTCATAGGTGATTTTATTGAAATGTTCCGTGGGACTGCACTAGCCCCTCCCCCCGTCCCCGTCCCTTGCAAATATCTGCCAAAAAATGAAGAGTAGGAAAAAAGGAAAAGAGAGCCAAAACAAAACCATACGGGAGTCAGAGGTACAAACTTGTCCAACGTAAGGTGTTAAGTTCTGTTTTTCACCCAGAAGCTGTATGCAAGCAAGTTCGGCGTCGATCCACGCAGAATGGAATTTTGCTCACTATTTTGCTTTTTTAAAAGAAAGAGAGACAAGCGCAAATACAGGCAAGATGTTACCGTAAAATAGGAGCCATTGGATCCACGTGTTAACGGAGCACAACCGAACAAATGTACCGTCTCCATTTGCAACATCTTCTCATTATAGATCTGCAGGAAACACAAGTGTTTCAAGAAATTTATGTCTAGTGAGATGGTTGTAAGGTACACATAAGTTGAAAAAAGAACTGAGCCGTGTATTTAAAAAAAAAAAAAAAAAAAAACTGGGTCGTATCATTTTCTTTTTTTAAAAGAAAACTGCAGTATAACAAACCTCTTCAGTAAAATGAAAGCACGACGCTTCCAGATGCTTCATGCAAGTTGAATTTGTGTATCCACCACAGAATTCCGGAGAATAGTTGCAATAACAAAGACTGCGATTATTCTCGTACTTTGCTGGTGCCTTAATTTATGCGGAAAATTTTCTCTGCTTCAAATCTTTTGAAAATTTTTCAGGAAAAAACATCTACTGCATAAAAATTAAGCTTACAGGATAGAAAAGCTGTGTAAAACGGTTTTCAGTGAATCTGAAAAAACCCTAAAACTGAAGTTTTCTAACTACCGTATATTTCAAAGTACTAAAAGGAAAGCGTAATAAAGTAAAAGAATAGAGGTCCGGAGATGACACAAACATTTTTCCTTCGTCGATCGGCCTCCGATTCGACGTTGGTTGAGTTAAATTGGAACGAAAGTCCCTGCGCATCAATCGGTACTGATAAATCACCATCCGCATCATAGCGCTCCGCCGAATCTAACTCATGCTTACGACCTTCAAAAGATAAAAAACATTCTTTGCCGGTGATAAGAACAATGTGTTAGAAATGTTTTTAAGCCAAACTGATGTGGTGAAATGAACCATTATCGATGCCTTGGATAAGGGGCATTTTTAACAGAAAACTGCGATCTCGTCATCTGCATCTGTCATTAGCAGGT